ATGAACTGAGAATGTAACTCACTTCCCTTAAGCAGCTGCTGTTCAGAATGATCAGTTGCGATGTGAGGAATTGCTTGAGCGCGGTGTACTGTAAATCACTAGGTTTTAGGTCTTCGAGAAGTGAGATCTGTGTAAGAAAGCACTAGGTAGAAGAAAGAGAGGGAGGTAAGCTTAGTGCTGTGGTTATAGACTCAAGTCAGGCATTCCTGGGCTTAAATCTTACCATTTCTACCGCTTGCAAGATGTGTGACTTTGTATAGGTCACTCAGCTTCTCTGAGCCTCGCTTTTCCTTATCTTTTTTTCCTTTTAATTTGTTATATGTTTTTATTGACTTTTTTTTATAGAAAGAGGAAGGGAAAGAGAGAAACATCGATCCACTGCCTCCTGCACAACCCCCATTAGGGATTGAGCCGGAAACCAGGCATGTGCCCTGACCGGGAATCAAACTGGAACCTCTCAGTCCATGGAAGATGCTCAGTCCACTGAGCCACACCAGCCAGGCACTTTCCCTTATCTTAATGGAAATAATAATACCGACCTAGAGAAGCATTGTAAGCAATAAACGAGATAGCATGTTTAAAGTGCTCTTAGCAGAGTACCTAGCACATAGTAAGCACTCATTAAATTTCAACTGGTTATTTTAGTAGACATTTAATATCATTTCTTAGAATAAGGTTACATTTATATGAGGAGAGAAATACATTGTTTTTTTAAATGGTATATTGTAATATGATATACAACGTAATATCAATGTAAATTATGATACAGTTGTATAGTTTAATGTTAAACGTGTATCTAACATTTGCTTAGCCAGAGTTTAAACGCAGTCTGTTGACTTCAGAGGTGTAGCTCTTAACCATTATAGTTGTCTCTTGCCACTTTGCGCGTCGACTTTCGCGGTTTCATTCTATCAAATATATTTGAAAAAACCGCGGTAGAGTGAAGCCGCGAAAGTCAAAGCGCGAGGTGGTGAGGGACGACTGTGTACAAATAAAGAATCTTACTTTGTGGAAATTCGTTTATCGCGGTAGAGTCTGGAACTGATTAACTGCAATAAATGAGGGCCGACTGTATTGAAAATTTCCCAAGTTATAGATAGCTGAAGCAAACATGATTTAAGAGCAAATCTGCCCCGTCCGGATAGCTCGGTTAGAGCAGCATACCCATGTGCCGAGGTTGTGAGTTCGATCTCTGGTCAGGGCACATGCAAGAATCAACCAATGAATGCATAAATAAGTAAAACAATAAATCACTGTTTTTTTCTCTCTCTCACCCTTCTCTCTCTAAAAAGATTAATTAATAAATTAAAAATAAAATAGTGGATTTAAAAAGAACAAATCTGAAAGTCTCAGACACATTTTGGAAGGATGCTTGATATAATCAACATTAGGAACAGGAAACTTGTAACATTTCTAGCATATCAATGTTGGGGAAAAATAAGGAAGGCCAAGGACTTAGGAATGACATTTATCTACTTTGGCAGGAAGGAAAAAGACCTAGAAGGCAAGAGGCATAATCAGAAGGGAGCAGGGAGAGTGCCCAATGTGTAGAGCTTGTGTTTGGGGCCCTGTCTGTGAGAGTGATGTCACACGCACACTGTTGGGGGACTCCACTGACTGACATACCCTTTCTGTTGCCTTTTGGGGTTATCACATCTTCTGAGATCATTTTGATCTGTCTTCAAAAACAACTAAGCCGCCCTGGCTGGTTTGGCTCAGCAGTTAAGGGTCGGCCTGCGGTCCAGAGAGACCCGGGGTTCGGTTCCCGCCAAGGGTATGTACCTTGGTTGCTGTTTGTCCCCGGCCCCGGTTGGGTCATGCGGGAGGCAGCCACTCGATGTGTCTCTTTCACGTCGATGTTTCTCTCTTTCTCTCTCCCTCCCACTCTATCTGAACAAAAAATGGAAAAATGTCCTTGGGTGAGAATAAAAAACAACTAAGCCAAGAATCTTGAAAACTCTTACATCAGCCATTGCCTGCTCGGTTTACTGTGCAGACCGAAGGGGCTCCGTGGGCACAGGCCCTGGCAGTGTTCTCACCTTTTTCCCCTACCAGCTTTACCAACTGAGTCTTTACAGGTAACTTGCATCTTAAGTAAGGACCAACCTCTACAAGCGTATCCAAAACAAATATGGAGAGCAAGCTTGCAAGTAGGTGGTAGAATGCTGTTAGGCAAGATTCATATGGCATTTTGTTTAGGAGCAAATGGCCACTTGCACTGAGAGACTTACTTGGATATAGGAGGTAGGGTTTCTATCTGAGGTCTATCTCAGTATTTGGGATTGGCAAACTTTTTCTTTAAAGATGCACATAGTAAATTGTGTGTGTGTGCGCATGTGCACGTGTGGCTTTGTAACTCCGTAGGATAACCGATGGGTGTGGCTTTCTTCTGATAAAGCTTTCCATACAAAAGCAGGTGATTCACCAACCATAGTTTGCTTACCCCTGGCCTAGAATACCTCCTGCTCTTGGATTCCTACTCTTAGAATTTATTTGCCTTGCCCAGAAGGATCTTTTAAAAACAAATCAGCACATTACTTTCCTTAGTAAGCCTTGTAGTTGCTTCTGATCACCTTTCCTATAAATCCAAGCCCCTTACAACAACCAGTAAAGTCCTATTTGAACTCTCCTTTGCCCACCTCTTGGAACACATCTAATTCCTTCTACTCTAATGACATTAACTTCTCTCTTTGTAGGCTTATACCTACCAAACTTGCTCCTGCCTCAGGGCCTTTGTACAAGTTGTTTCTTCTGCCTGGACAGCTCTTCCTCAGATTTTTTTTTATAGCCAGCTTCTGCTCATCATTTAGGTCTGAGATTACATGTCACCTCATAGTGTCCTGCCCTGATCACCCTACATAAAGTAGCTCTCCTAAGTACTCTCTGTATGTCATTATCTTCCCTTATTTGTATCATGCTTATTGCCACCTGAAATCATCAGTTTACTGTGTACCCATGACTCCCCACCAACTGCTGACTCCAGAGAGTAGGGCTTGGTCATTCTTGTTCACCGCAGGAACCTGGTGCCTGGAACAGCCCAGCACACAGTAGGCAGTCATCGTTTGTTGGGTAAACTGCCTTGTTTTACAGCCCTGGTATTTGTAAAGTGCTTTTTAGTGTACAGAGCTCTTCTGTGTTCAGAGTATGTTGTATCTTTTCAAAAACTATGAAGCAGATGGCATTATGCACCCAGAGGATCTTAAGCAGAGAAGAAAGGGACTTGCCCAGCATCACAGATTAGTAAATGGAAGGGAACTAGACCTGACCCCAGGATACCTGACATTTAAGTCTTGCCTTGGGTTTTCGTGATTGTCTTTGGTTGTTTGTTTGAGGTAATTTATCTTTATGTTGGTCCCAGAAGGTCTCAGACTTCTGGGCAGATCAGGACAGTTCAGAACTTCCACTGAAGACTCTGCTCAATGACACAGGTGTGCTAGACTTAATTCAGGAACTAACATCAAGAGCAGTTGTTACATGCGTTCCTTGGATTAAATAAATCAAACAGTTAATTTATTATGAAGATTACATTTAATTTCCTAGTGAGAACAAAGTAGATAAGTTCTATAGAGCATTTGTTTCGGGGCGGGGTTAATAGCAATATTCTGTTCTTTAACTGATAATAAATATTGAATGTTGAAATAGCTTAGCTCTCAGATTATCTTACTTTTTCAAGTGCAGAAATCTTTCTATCTTGGTCTGGACAGATGGTCATCCCCCTGGTGTTCAGACACTTCCAGTGAAGAGCAGCTTATTGTTTTATATCTCTATAGATTGCATCTTCACTTTCATAGACGTTAAAGTTAATGGGATGGATATAGTCCTAAAGGGTTGTCACATTTGAGCAGACTCGGCCATTTACATATTGTTAGGGGATTTGTTTCTTAAAGGAATCCTGTGATAAAACCTTTTTGTTTATTTGTTTGTTTTTGTTAATCCTCACAGGAGAATATTTTTTCATTGATTTTTTAGAGTGTAAGGGAAGGGAGGAATAGAGGGGGAGAGAGAGAGAAAAACATTGATGTGAGAGAGACACATTGATTGGTTGCCTCCTGCATGACCCCATCCAGGGCTGGGGATCAAACCTACAACCCAAGTATGGCTCCTTAGCTGGGAATTGAACCTGTGACCTTTTGGTCCTCAGGCCAGCGCTCGAACCACTGAGCCAAGCTGGCCAGGGCCTACAATAAACCTTCTGAGCAAAGTTTCTCACATTGTTGGCCTTCTTTTTTTCTTCAAATGCAGTATACCTGTATTTTAAGTGATGACTTAGAGATACTAATTTTTTTTTTTTTTTTTAAATCTTCACCCGAGGATATTTTTCCATTTTTTGTACAGATAAAGTGGGAAGGAGAGAGAGGAAGGGAGAGAGAGAGAAACATCGACGCGAAGGGACACATTGAGTGGCTGCCACCCGCACGACCAACCAGGGCCGGGGACAAACTGCAACCGAAGCACGTGCCCTTAGCGGGAACCGAACCCGGGTCTCTCCAGACCGCAGGCTGACGCTCTAACCGCTGAGCCAAACTGGCCAGGGCGATACTAATTTTTTTTTAAAAGGCACATTTTTGGTACTATTATGTATCTAACGACACATTATTGTTACCAAAAGAAAACTCAGTTAACAGTGAAAAGTGTTTATCCTACCATGACATTGCCTTACGTTAATATAGTTTGGGGCAGAAATGGGAAAAACAGCCTTTTAAAGAGGACCCTTGTCGCCCAGCCTGTGTGGCTCAGTGGTTGAGCTTCAACCCATGCACCAAAAGGGTCGCCAATTCCCGGTCAGGGCACATGCCCAGGTTGTGGGTTTGGTCCTGGTGGGGGCCTGCAGGAGGCAGCCAGTCAATGTTCTCTCTCATTGATGTTTCTATCTCTCTCTTCCTCTCCCTTCCTCTCCCTCTAAAATCAATAAAGAAAAAAAGTTAAAGAGAACCCTGTCTTTCTCCCTCAAATAGAGCCATGATTTGTCCTCAATACTTAAATCTGCTTTTTTTCTGTAGATTGCTGCTAAAATTGATTCAATTCCTCACTTGAATAATTCCACACCTCTAGTGGACCCCTCAGTATATGGATATGGAGTACAAAAACGGCCCTTGGATGATGGAGGTAAGTTGTTGTAAATATCTTTGCCTTTCAGATGGTTGTGAGCCTGTCGGTTAAGTTGGAGTTTGTGCCAGCCGTTTTCTTACCAGCCCCTATCATCACGCTCTGAAGAGGAATGGTTAAGGGGAAGCATTTGGGATGATTTATCGCAACAATTCTCCAGCACTGGAGTTCTGATTTGCCTTGATAGCAAAGGAATCTTTTTAGCTGGGCTCTCAGATAAAGACTTGGCCTTTGAGCATCAGTTTGGAAGTAATTGGACAGGTTTGAGAGTTTTGCTGGGTTTAGCCCTCCGCTCTTCCAGTCCACATGTAGGAGCTGAAGTGCCCATTATTCAAAATCTAAAGAAAAGCTAAGTTTTGGTGCATAGCTCTGAGGAAGCTGTGCCCTAAGGAAAGGAAAGGGCGTGGTGACCTTTCTACAATCTCTGTGTTAGTTTGTCATCGTTCCCATTTATGACAGGTTCTTTCTAGAAACATTTCTTTTTCTTTCATTCATTTGTTATTTTGTTGGTTTGTTTATATGCTCGACTCCACCCACCCCCCAAAACTTGAAACCAATTAGAAGCCCCCTGGCAGAGTATCTATCAGATGTGTTTCTGCAAAGAATTTGGGCTTCCTTTATCGTATTTTGTCTTCCACAAAGTTTGACTGTAACAGGGATTGTGAAATATACTAGCTGGTACATGAATATTCATAGAGTTGGCGGACAGTGTCTTCTGTCCTATCAGTCTGCATAAGCATCCAACCATGTATGCGTGTACATATTTCTATATATTATTAAGTGAAAAAAATCAAGGTGTACAACAGGATGTATTGTGTAATCTCCTTTTCTAAAAGGAAGTGCATGTTTTTATATACATAGAAAAAATGTAATTTGGTATGATTGCTTTTTTTCTCTGGTCTTGGGGATTTTGAAAGAGGAGAGTGCCATTATTTTTAGATGTGGAAACCTTTTTGGGATAATTGTATATAGATTCACACTGTGATGTTTTTAAGGGACAACATTTGGATGTAAAAGTTCTTGTCTGTTTAAAAAAACAGTTCATGTTTGTTATCACATACATAGGAAGTCTACTCCAGGCCATTGGAACTCAGGTGACCATTTAAACTCCTACTCCCAATTGGTACCCCATGGTCTCCTTTTATTTGACTGGTGTTAGTGATTTCTAAGACCAAATAAGACTAATGGCGTTATCTGTATTTTTGCCTTAGCAAAAAGCTTTTTACCTTTTTAGGGCAATTATGCTTTTGTTCCTCCTATGAGACATCAATAGAAAAGTAGAACTAAGTTGTCTGGCTCTAAACACATATCTTGTTAATGGACAGAGTCTCTCTGGTCCACCGTTTCCAGAAATTGAGATCAATATGTTTCACAACTCTCAGCCTTGTTTTTACCGACTGCCTGGAGTCAAGTCAAAGTGTAAAACTGCACCCAGTGAATAGTATTCATGGTGTCCTTTGCATGGGAACACCCAAATATTTGCAAATGAAACCATTGGCATTTTGCAGACATTTTTCTCCCATTAATCCTTTGCATACCCATTTGAGAGAAATTAGCAGAAGGTTCCAAACTTAGTGATAAAGACACCTAGGGAGCAAGCAGTACTGGCTAGTACGTCACCAGTAGGTCCAGGATCTCACTCACTTCAGTGCATTATTATATTGTGTATTTTCACCTCTTTCTCGCTGTTGACACTGTTACAGATGTCCTCATTTTCCTCCCCTCTTTGCCCCTTTCCACCCAGCCCCCTCACCTCTTTTTTGAGAACCACGATTTTTTTGCATCTGCCTTTTGGGGACTAAGTCCTTGTAATCAGAAAATGAACACGGTTTCTCTCTCTCCTTCTAAATAGCAAGCCTCCTTACAGTAGAAAGAACTGAGAAGGGACCTTTCGGCAATATGCTAGGTCTCCAGCACCCTGGATGCCTGTGTCTTACATAACCGACCGCATTTGAGGAATAAGGACTGTCCCTCTGGCGCCTTACGTTCTGCGTTACAGGTTGATACAGTCAGCTCCCTTCTTCTGAGCACCGTTTAAATAACAGAATCACAGAAATTGTTTTCCTCCAAGTTGGTCTCCACTTGCAGAGTTTGAGATTTGCCATCGAGCGTTGCAAATGGGGCCTGCATCAGCCTATTTTGCCAGTTGTTTTCTGCCAGGGCTAAGGTCACTGGGCCAGTTCTGTTCTGTTCCCCCGCCAGCTTTCTAAGGGTCACGGTCCTGCTGTTGTGAGAGGAAAGTGTGGAAAAGCAGAGGCAAGTAACAAGCAGGAACTCTGAAATAGTTTTCTTTGCAATAAAGATTTCCAAAGGCTTGCAGTTTTTTGCTTGTTTGGTTTGGCTTGGGTTTCTGTTTTTGTTTTTTGGGGTTTTTTTGGACAGAAGTTCACCAGATCGCTTCTTTAGCGATGTGAACTTTCTAACTTTCCTGTGAATCTGAGTTCTTTAACCTTTAGGAGGTTAAAGTTTAGTCTCCTAGAAGTTTTTGGAGGTGTTACTACGACTCAGCCTGCTGCTGGTGTGGCTCAGTGGCTGAGCGTTGACCCATGCTCCAAGAGGTCACTGGTTCAATTCCTCATCAGGGCACACGCCCAGGTTGTGGGCCTGATCCTGTGTGGGGTGTGCAGGAGGCGACTAATCGATGTTTCTCTCTCATCGATGTTTCTGTCTCCCTTCCTCAATAAAGAAAAAATAAATTAAAAAAAAAAAAAAAGTACTTCGACCCTTAGTTGATCAGAAAGAACCTTAACACAAGGTTTTTTCAGGACATTGAGATATACAAACAAGTGTGTGGATGGGAGGGTTAGAACAAGTGCTAGGCAGTAAAGCAAGGGGAGGATTCGTCCGTGATGCAGATGGGATTTGTGTGGAATGTGTTCCCGGGCAGGGTTGCGCTGTCTGAGACTGCCAGTTCGTGGGTCTGCTTAGAACCCAGCAAGAGGGGTGGAGCTCAGCCTTTGGAGCCTGCCTTGGGTCACATAACTGTAACTATTAGCATCTTCGGTCTTGGTACCCACACTTTTTTTTTTTGGTACGTGCCCCTAGCAGGAACCGAACCCGGGACTCTGGTCCACAGGCTGACACTCCAACTGCTGAGCCAAACCAGCCAGGGCGGTACCCACACTTTCTAACAGTCTTTGAGATGTTAGAATCTTCAACTTTGTAATCTCCGGGTTGGTCTCAGGTGTGGCAACTTTTCCATCCAGTACTTTCTTCGTGCCCGTGCCACAGCTAGAGCCAGTCTGACCAGTTCCATGTCTCTGCGCTGACCTGGGGCAGGTTCCAGTCACCAGGAAGGCCCAGCTTACCCTGGCCATCGCCTGCCTGCCCTGCTGGTCTCTCTCCCCATTCACACTGTGCAGCGGCCTCGTCATCTGCTGCTTCTTTTTGCTCTCCCAGAAACATGTCCCCATCCCAGCTCTTTACCTGGCTGGTTCCTTCTAGAAACCTGTCCTCATTTCATTTTTTGACTCAATGCCCCACTCAAGTGTCACCCAGCCTCTTTATCTTCTCTTGTCTCCTGTTCTCCCTTCTTCTTTCCCTCTCTTCCTCCCTTTTTCCCACAGTCCCCTCACCGGGGAATAATCACATTCTGCTCTGAGCTTCTGAAGCGGTTCATTTGTCCCTTAGGGCACATATCATTTCCTGCTTTGTCTCGCAGACACCAGGTACCTCATGTCCCTTTCTGATTAGATCCCATGTGCCTGACCATAGAGATGCTCTTTTTCTCTGCCTGCCTTACAGAGTGAGGGAATCATTGCTCAATACTCAGGTCTCCTTTGTATCCTGTAAAGCATTTAGAAAATTTTCTGAAAAGTAAGCTCCACATTTGAGAGAATAGCATTTAGCCAAGTGGTTTAGAACTATGAATTTCAATTTAATCTAAATCAGAGGTTGGCAAGATTTTTGTTTTTTTCTTTTTGGTACGTGCCCGTAGCAGGAACCGAACCCAGGATACTCTGGTCCTCAGGCTGATGCTCCAACCGCTGAGCCAAACTGGCCAGGGCGGCAAGGTTTTTTTTTAAAGGACCAGATAGTAAATATTTTAGGCTTTCAGGTCCTATGGTCTCTGTCCCACCTGCTCAGCTCTGCCATTGGAGCTTGAAAGCAGCCGTGGACACATGTAAACAAATGCACGTGGCTGAGCTCCAGTAACTCCTTGTTTACAGAAATAGGCAGCTGGCCCGCAGGCCAGATTGCCAACCTCTGATCTCAAACCAGCCTTGTCAAATGATTAACACTAACACTTTCTTAATCTGCAGTTAGGGAGGTGTTTAGAGGGCCCTCCCCCAATCCTAATTTCTTTAAACAAATCTCCCTATCTCAGGTTCCACTCTCAGACTGAGAAAACGTGCTTTCTAAGGTTTAGCCCGGAGTGGCTGGCAGATGGGAGAGGTGCTGTTCTCATCGTCCCTCTATCTCTAGGGGCAGCCAGAGCATCTCCTCCAGGGTGCTACCCCAGAGAGTTTGAGCTAATTATGGTCTCGTGAGCGTTTCAGTTGAGTCAAGCAAACCGCCCTCTCTCCCTACCCTCTCTGGAAGAGGTGGTCCCAACCGGAACGCGGGTGAATGCAGCGCCGTGTTTGCCATTGCTGGGGGGAGGGGAGCATACAGAAGTGACTGAAAACAGGCCTGCCCTTCTGCCCAAGATTTCTTTTTGATACTGATGTGGTTCCTTTTTAGATTAGGGTCACACCTTCTGGTTTTATCTGGATGATGTTTTAGTGGGGTGAAGGAAGAAGAATTTTTGGGTGTACCATCAAATGAATTATTTACAGAAAAATTGGAATAGACTGGTTTTTTAAAATTCTTTTTGCATTCTGCATACTGACATAGAGGAAAAAGAAGATGACTGAAACTTACATATGAAAGAATTCTTTACAATTAAATCTGCAATGTTATACATTTATCTTACATGTCACCAAAAAAACACCAACTATGATGAATATGACAAATTATATGAAAAACAACACAGATCACATTAAAAACAAATCCAAGAA